AGCAATGCTTGCAGAAAAAAATGCTAGGACTTGTGACTCCTGGATTTCATTCCAGTCTCTAGACAAGTGTCTTTGTAGGGGCACAGACTCTTCTGCCCATTTTTAGTCAGAGTGCTTATGATTTGTTCATATTTGGCTGGATTTTCATGGCAACATCTCTCACAAAAAAAGCCACTCCTATTCCAAAGTTCAAGTCCTTACTTCAAAGCGTGGAACTGGTACAGATTTTCAAAGGAAGGCTCCTCGGAGTTTAAGATTGGTAAAACAATGTATTTTTCCCAGCAGAAGAGTTTCAGCTGAAATTTTAAAAACAAATAAATGCATAAATCAAAATTTAGTCTGAGACAGACGCCCAGCATGGACAATTTCAGCCAGAACATTTAAAGTTTGGCAAAGCTGTAAGAGACTGAAATCGTCTCATCATGTGAAGTGTGTGGCATGTTTCATCCAAGGCGATATTATCAGCTGTAAGTAATCCAGGCTGCACTTATAATTCAGAGACGTAGATGTTGGGGAAGGAAAAAACTATTTTAATGGGTCAATTAGTACAATGTCCCAGCCTGAATTGAACTGTTGAACAAAACCCCACAAAACCTAGTTTTGACTTTAGCAAATGTCTTAACACTGAAGTTCCCTGAAACACAAGGGAATCATTTAGCTACTGGTAAATAAATTTAACTATATGTTGCTGAATTTCCTAGAGACAGACTGTTCAGTGAATACAGCATTACTCTGGTTTCATGCATCAAAAGATTCTGCATTGACTTAATGGGCTAGAAATTTCCCTATGAAACAAATGCAATAAGCTAAGGGACTTTTTTATTTTGTTTGTGACCTTCTAACATTAAATAACAAAACAAATTGTAATATTTTTTAGTTATAAAAATATCCTGTAACTCTTTAAAGTAGATGTCAGCTGGCTGTACCTACAAGGAGTTAATCTGTCCACAGTACATTATGATCTTTAATAATTGGGAATGATTGGCCGAAGTGCTGTAAACCTGACAGAAATTTGTTGCCTGATTTTCTGCAAACCACAAGTGCAGCTTATTAATTGAGACCTGAGTATTAATTGGCACTAGCTGGAATCTGTAAACTGCAAAAGAGAAATTACCTTGGCAAACATGCAGCTGTGAATGGTGGAGCTGCAAAGCTGCAACAGGTAAAATTGGGTTTTAAGCGCGAATGCAAAACAATTTGAGCTGGCTGCTGGCAAATGCCCAGGTCTAGGGTTTTTAATGAGGCTTCTGCATCAAAATAAGTGAAACCACATGGAATTTTAATTGTTCTTATTCTAAATATGAAACACACTGGAGCAGTATTCTTGAATCTGGGATGTTAGCATATATATTGGCATATTAACATGACCACTTTTCTGTTCTAAACATTTAGCTCTCAGAAAACTGGAGTGCCAGGCTATGTTAGGAAGGAATCAGCCTAGAAAATTTAAAAGTAGTTCAACCTGGACTTATTCAGATGTAAAGTGTTTTGGTTTTGTTTTTTTTCAAAAATACACCTTTTTCTAATTTTCCTTTTTATTGTTAAACCCAGTCAGCTGATGAGACTGTATAGGAGAAGATCACTTGCTGTGTTCTTTGATGTGTCTCTCTTTCTGGTGGCACAAAATAAAGTCTCTTCTCTTTATACAAGTGTTGTTTTGCAATGTGGTGGCCATGATGTAGGGCAGAGGGCCTATGCTTCACCCATTTAGTGCAAGTTATCACGAGAGTGGGAATTCGCAGATGCAAATGGTTTTCTTGCTCTGACGGAGGAAAAATTACCATAAAATTTTAATCCTCCCCGGGAGAGGAATAAATAAATTAGTATAATATTATAGTTATTATATTACGAATTATATACTTGCACTGTCATGTTACTATATTGCTGATCCACATCACTGTTTGTGCACAGCTAGATATACAAAGATGGGTGCCATACCCAGTAGAACTATTTCTCTTCCCAGCCCAGCGAAGAGCTTAACATGTATAAATGAATCCATGTCTGGGGTTTCCAAGTTAGAACCAAAATCAACCTTAACATAAGGAGGTAGCACAGAGAAAGGAGGAGGAGGAGAGTGAAAATGCATCAGCAAGATTGAACAGCAGTGAGGTTGGCAAGAAGCTGAGGTTTAGAGCTGACCTTTTAGTAAGTTTCCCTTAGAAATGAAACTTTAGAACAGAGAGCTTTTTCTGATCTTTAAAAATATCTTTACACAATGGAGATACACAATAAAGCTGGGAACAAATTGCAGCCCTGTGCAGGGAGTTATGGAGACAGCAAAAGGCACTTGGGCAAAAGGGGAGTTGGAGAAGTGAGTGGGCAGGAGCTGTGCAGACACAGCCATGAGTGAGATAAGACAGGGTCACGGGTGTTTGGCCTTTGGGTAAATAAGATTGTGCTTTACAAGCAACAGTAAAAACAAACAAGTGTGGATTTACTAGGGTACATAAGGAGGTCTGCAGCCTCACATTTGAAATGCCTACGTGTGGTGTGCACATTCCCAGTCATTCCACACAGACATGACCTCTTGGCAGCACCCATGAAGATAATATTTGGATCTAGCTCAGAAAGGGCGATTGCCTTTTAATTTGTAAAACCGTGTGGAGACCTTTGTATTAAGAAAAGAAGTATTGGTTGCAAAGAAACCAAAAATACCAGTGTTCTTCTATACCCTTAGACTCACACAAATTCCACCTTTGATTGTAGAAGTCTTGTTTAGCTTCTATCAGGATAAACTAAAAGCAACTCTGTTCATGCTGGGAGAGTTGCAATAACAATACATTAAAAAAAAAAAAAAAAGAGAATAAGCAGTAGCAGATTGAAACTCAGTATTTTGAGCAGCTGGGGAAATTATATTCTAACCTTATATTTCCAGATACATATCAGACCTGTTCACAATATAAAGGATAGTGTTCCAAAATTACAGCTTTGAATCTGGGTGGTATTGCCTCTGGCTATTGTTTGCAGTTGGGAACGAAAGAAGTTGCATAAAGTAGTAGAGTGTTTGCTGTAAAGGTACAAGTTATATTACATTCCAGGGCGCTGTGGTTGGAGGGGGTTGATGATGGAGACAGACCCATTCACCCATAGGTCACTGATTCAGTCCCAGATAAAGATAATAGTAATCACATTGTCATCAGAGTTTAGAATGGGCTTTTACTGCCCACTTAAAGCTCTGTGCTCAATATTGTCAGAGATATAGGATTATAATCCCCAGGTTTCAGGCTGATTTGGAGGCTTGGCTGGCTGTGGGCCAGGTCCTCCAGCCTGAGCCCAAACTGTGTCTGAGCTTTGCCCCACTGCTGCTTTTAAATATCATTGTAGGCATGGGTTCACTGAGCTGGGAGAACAGGTGAGAGTAGTGATTTAAATCCCAAAATGTGCCACACAGGGTGGCAGAGGCGGTTGAGTCTGCTGCTTATAGCAGAGTGGACCAGGAACAGAAGGGCTGGAGAGACCTTTCTTTTACACAGCAGTGTCAGCAGGGCAGATCTTAAGCCTGTCTGCAAGGGAAATAATTTCTTCATTTAAAACTGAGGATACACAGAGCATTTCAGTGTTTAGCACATCGGTTTGGTATCTAGAAGATGCCATATTTTCCTTTTAGTTAGGTTCAGCAGACTGACAAAGAGGTGAGTGAACCCTTGGATCTGGAGGGCTGTAAAGCTGTAGGAGAGTCAGCTGGGAAGTGCAGGGAGGGTCCATTTCATTTCATCATTTTCCCCCTTTATTTATACCCTGCTGTTTTCATCTCTGTATAAATGTATGTGTTTACTGCATACTGGCCATTGCATTTGCTTCCTCCTGCTCTGTACTACTTCTTTAGGCTTTCCCTCTTTCCTCTGTCCTTTTCCCACACTCTCTTTGTTTTCCACTCTTCTGGCTCCCAGTACGAGCTTTCACCATCTTTGTCTTCTGCTCCTGTCCATCCCACAGTCCTAAGCACATCACCAAGCTAACGTTTGCTTTCCAGTTCTGCTCCAAAGCTTTGGGTGTTTGATGTGGGATTAGAAATTAGGCAAAATGAGTTTACCCATCCCTGTTTTGCGTTAGACTCCAATTCACAGCGTTACCATCCAGACGTTCACAGTAGTCATAAACTGTGTGGTCTTTTTTTTTTTTTTTTCAACCAGACTGCAGAGACTACATGCGAAAACAAATTTTTTTTCAATGGCAAAAAGAGTGTTGGGCTTGTAATTTTCCATCAACTTCTCTGAAGAGTAAAACCTGCATCTTTGCTATCAGCTCAATGGCCTTGTCCATCCTTCAGATGCAGCAAACTGTTTTTTAGCCAAAAGAAGCAGCTGAGCGGTTTCTCACCTAAATAAATTGATTTAAGGCAAGAAGTGGGTCTTAGTCACCCCCAGTGTAACTCCCCTGGTGTCAGTGGTGCAGTTAACTTGGTGTTGCCAGCTCTTGTAGCTTTACTACAAGTTGCACAGTGATTTCTGCTTTTCTGGAAATCCGAGCTCCTGACAGCCTGTGCTGAGGTGGGAATCTCAGTTTTCGAGTGCAACCACACCTAAGTTTCTCAAGAGGTTCGAGCAATAAACAGAGACACATAACCCTCAAAACTCTGAAACCAGAAGGCAAATCAACTCCAAGTCTACGTTTCTTTTTTTGGCTCTTTTAAAATCTCTTGATTTTATCAATATTTCTTTTTACCCCTTTCTTTTTTTAGCTTTTTTTTCAATCTTTTGATTTTTGAGATTTTTTTTTTCCCCCCAACCTGACTCATGACCTTTGAACACTTCAGGTTGGCAATACTGCTCCCTCCATTGGCATCAGTGGAGTTAGACCAGGGATGAGTTTGGCCCAGCGCTTCTAGAAGACAGATATATGACTCTGTTCCTTGCAATGTGTTGCTTGATATGATCTGCTATTCTCTTGGGGGCCAAAAGAAGTGGGTTATCTTAGAAAAGTAAAATTCTATCATCACGTGATACAAAAAATGGTATTTACAGAATTGTTTTCCCCCGTCTTTTGTTATAATTTTTTAGGTGCTTCAGAGCTGGGCCCATTTTCAGATCCCAGGCAGTTCACAAGCATTTCATCCCTCACTGAGAGCCGCTTCTCCAACCCACGAATGCACTATCCAGCCACCTTTACCTATACACCGCCAGTCACCTCAGGCATGTCACTGGGTATGTCCGCAACCACTCACTACCACACCTACCTACCACCACCCTACCCCGGCTCTTCCCAAAATCAAAGTGGACCTTTCCAGACCAGCAGCACTCCATATCTCTACTATGGCACTTCGTCAGGATCATACCAGTTCCCCATGGTGCCGGGAGGGGACCGCTCCCCTTCCAGGATGCTCCCGCCGTGCACCACCACGTCCAACGGCAGCACACTGCTAAACCCTAACTTGCCCACCCAGAGTGACGGGGTGGAGGCGGATGGCAGCCACAGCAGCTCCCCAACCGTCTTGAATTCTAGTGGCAGGATGGATGAGTCCGTTTGGAGGCCGTACTGAGATTTCTTCTGTAGCCGGCCCGACCTCCGCAAGCCAAAAAAAAAAAAAAACCAAAAAAACACCAAACCACCAAACGGTCGACTAACTACGAAGTGCCTGGGTTTTTTGTTTTTTTTTTTTGTTCTTTTTTTTTAAAACAGATTTTACCAATATGTGCAACTGTGTAGATGGGATGATAATGGCCATAAATAATACAAGAGTTACCAACACACCACAACCCATGTTTCAGATTATGTGAATCAAAGCACATATTTGCTTTTTTTTTTCTCTTGGAACCATTTTACCTTGTTTTATATTTAAAATGTACTTTCTACACACACACACACACACACACAAAGAAATTCACCCCCTCCTTTTTTTTTTTTTTTTTTTTTTTTTTTTTTTTTTTTTTTTTTTTTTTTTTTTTTTTTTGGAATTTTTTCCTTCTTATTTTCCCCCCTAGAGTTTTGTAATAACTAGTGAGTACTTTTTGCCAACAAGGAGAGAACGGACTCCCTGGCTATCAGGAGAAACATGGTGATGCAAGGCAAAGGCTGCATTCCCTTTTATTTTAATAAAAAACCAAAACTAACCATGAACTCCAGATACAGTTGCAATCATACAACGTATGGGACCCTCTCCACACCTGTAGTGCAATTCACCTGGTTTGTATTGGTGCACATAAAAAGCAAAGAGCAAGTTGCTTCCATTTTGCTATGACCCATTCAGACGAAAACAGCTGTCCCAAAAAACTCTGTCCGAGCCTTGCTGGGAATAACGGTTGAAATTTCTCTGTGTTCATTGCTTTTTTGGTTTGCTTTTGGGTACTTAAAGAGAATGAGTTTTCAAGTTAGGTGAGCCAACCCCGGGGTTTCCTTTTTGCTTTTGTATCCGTTCGTTTTGCCTTCGATTAGCCAAAAACCAAAAATAACAACCAAAACCTTGAAAAACAAAAAAACAAAATGTTATTACTTATGCAAAATATGAGAATGGCAATATATATTACTAGAGCCAAAATGGTATACATAGTATTTGTGTTCGGCTATGTTCTTTCTTTTATTTTTTTTTTAAATTATAAATGTGTAAAATTTGAGGTTGTTTGCTAACATGAATCATCATTTAAGTTTAAAAGAATATTTATAATTATTTAATGACATTTGGACCCTTTAAACGTTTCTTAATGTAATGATATATTGACTTCGGTCTCTAAAAGTGTTTTTTGGGGTTTTTTTTGTTTTTTTTTTTAATTACATTTCTGCAATAGTGTAAACCTCAGACCTTTACCCAACTCTGAAAAGCAGTTCCAGTGTGAACCTGTTTACAATGTGACTTAAAAACAACAAACCCAACCTAAATGCATCCACATCAAATGATTTTGGATGTAGGATCTTTTTTTATATAACTTATGAAGGAAATATTGTGTTTAAAATATTTTTATTAGCTGTCTGGTTGCCTTCGACACAGTCTTGCCTTTTAATCAGCAGTTGTGGAGACACTGGAAAAATGGTAGGAAGGATGAAATATTTTCCACCCTTCCCCTAATTTCTTCTTCTCCAAGGATTTTTTCTCAGAACTTCAAAATTTGAAAAGATTCATATTTAAAATGGCCTATTTTGCAGCATAATTTAGATTTCGACAGGGTTTTTTTTTCCCAAAGAAAAATCAAAACCATTTCAAAGCCCGTATTTTGCAAAAGATGAATTGTTAAGCATCTCAGAAATGGGATTAAGGGGGAAATGGTGAAACATTTTCCCCTCCCCTTGCAATTTCAGCCCACTCGGTGGAATTAAAAGGTTTCAAACTTGAGACAGAAACTGCCTGGTAGCGAGTCACCACCCGTTAGCATTAAATGCGGGAGCCGTGCGGATGCTGTGGTGGCTCTGAAGCTGATGTGGCTGTTGCCCATGTTAGAGGGACGAGCACAAGGGCAGCAGTTCTCACCTCTGCCCACACAGAAGACAGAAACTCACCTTCAAAGCCATCCTGGGGCTCCCAGGGCTGGTATAAACAGAGCAGGTTGCACCCAACCCCCAGCCTGTCTGTGGCCAAACTACCCCGCAGAGAGGCCCCAGTTTTGGCCAGCCCAGGGCTGCCATGGCAAGCAGGGAGGTGACATGGCATTGGCTGGACGTGGTGGGAGCTGAGCCATCCTCCCCACACTCTCCCCAAGCAGGTGTTAAGCCTGGCTTAGCGGGATGTTCGGCACGTGCCAGTGGGCTTGGCCAAAGCTCCCTCCTTCCACTGGCTCAGTCACCGCTGCCCGCAGCCTCCTCCAAGCTGCTCCTTAGGTGATCTTTGGCTACCTCCAAAGCAGGGCAGTAAATCAAGGCTGGGCACAGCCACACAGAGCCAGACACCACCCTCACTGCTCGCTAGCAGCGAAGCTGTTAAACGAGCTGCCATTAGCATGGTACGTCCCTCCAATCTGCGTGATGACGTGCTCTTAAAAATAATAAATTAATAAAGTCTTTGCCTTCTAAAGGTTGTATACCAAGTATGCTTAAAGTATAAGTAAGACACTTTGTTTTTCTTCTAATACTTAGTTTTCCTTCAAAGATGGAAGCTGTAATTGATTCTATTTATTGTTGGTTTGTGGTAGCTTGAAGCATACCACTGTCCATTTATTTGTAACTGTAAAGTAACGTTTGTTAGTCTCAGCAGCACTTAAAAAACCAGTGTCTGGTTACACATTTCAGTTTTGTGTTTTGTTTAGTAAGCAAGAGAAAAAGAGATGTACTGCCAGTGCAAGCTGTTTCCTATTTAATAAAAGGTACTATATTTGTACATTATTTGTTATTGCTGAGAAGGGCTTTTTAAGGTTTACTGTATGCATATTAAGTAATTTTTAGGGTGCTTTTGTGTTGAAATGTTGTTAAGAGTGGCTGCAGGCAGCAACCCAGATTTTCTTTTTTTTTTTTTCCTTAAGACTTTGTTGTAAAATTCAAGCACTTGGTTTTTGTTTCTGGATAAATCCAGCACAGACCAGACTTTTGTTTTGCCCAATACCGACAGGACTCTGTTTGTGTCCCCGCGGTTTTTCAACTGGACCTTTAGGGACAAACGTTGAAAATGTTTTCTCCGCCCAGTCGAGGTGTGCGTGCCTGATCCAGTCGATCCGTGCCCTCGTCTGACCTGGCTCTGCCTGCTTGAGATAGGAAGGAAAGGATTTTCTAAGTACCTGTGGACAGAGGAGCACCAGCCCCTTGACTTTCAGTAGACCCCCATGCTCCTGAACCCTCCTGGTGCCTTTGGAAAATCTGTCCTGGAACATCAGGCTGATCATGGAGGGAGTTGTACAGGCTGAGGCAGAGATGCTCATCAGAGCTTTCAGAAAATGCTTTCAAGTTCACTTGGAAATGCTCTTGAATCAGATTTTCAGACCCAACCGGTGCTATGTAGTGAATCATATCAATTTATCTGAGCTCTTTTGAGGTGCTTGGCATCACAGAATGGAGTTTTCTCAAAGGTACGACAGCCCTTCCCTCCGGGCAGTGGCAATCTTTGGCACTGGTCACAGATCAAAAGAAAAGAAATTGCCTTTATTTTACCTTCCAGCTCTCTTATCCTACCAAAGACTTACTTCCAGCACAACAGGCACAATGTCCCTTTTGCCGAAGGGAGGATTAAATCCTCTTCTCTCTCCTTCTAAGCGTAACCAGATGGGGTGCAGTGGGTCAGGACAGAAGAGTAAAGCAAATTATTTATCCCACAGCATCATTCACGTGGCATTTATCGTTTCCTTTAAAAGCCCAGCTGCTGTGTCTTTCTTAGCATTGAACCTTTGTTGCCAGCAGTCCCCTGAGCAAAGATTTACCAGTTTCCACAGGTACCATCTGAAGTGGGGAGAATTTTGCACTTTCACCCTGAGCAAAGCAAGGCTCAGCCCCGCGCTGGGCTGCAGCAGCAGCAAGCCATGAGCAAAAGCAATAATTAAACCTGGATCAGCCATGAGCTCAAAGAAGCCCCATTCTATGCCCCCCTGAATTTCTTGTTGTTTTTAAATAGAATGCATTTCAGTTTAACATTTTCTGAGAACGTTTTTTTAGATGTTTGTTTACTTCCATGTTTACAGATAACTCTTTGCTTTTTTTTAATGCAGTACTTTTAAGTATATCAGCCAAAACCATACTTTTACAGTAACTTTAGGTAATATGAGTGACATTCCAATTTTTTTTTGTTGTTAAATATGCTTTACCAATCTTGAATTTCCGCTGGAACAAAATATTTGTAGCATTTTGTGTAAATACAAGCTTTAATTTTTTATTTTTTCAAATGCTGTCACCCAAGATTTGCTTTTCATGCACATATTGTACAAACACACTCTGCTTTATGCCACAGACGATGATTGTGGATCAGTTTACTTCAACTTCAAAGGGACTATTTGTATTGTATGTTGCAACTGTAAATTGAATTGTTTGGCATTTTCTCATGATTGTAATATTAATTTGAAGTTTTAATTTCATTTTCAATAAAATGGCTTTTTTTTTTTTTGTTAATGTTCTTCTAAGCTTCTTTTTCTTCCTTGTCTCTTCTTGGCACCAGGCAGGGTAAACAAGCACATGGTAGGACATGGGATCAGGCCATCTGTGGCTGACCCATCAATTTCTGCAGCGCCTGAATTTTCAACTAAATATAAAAAGCAAGTTTCCAGGCCCTTGGGTGGTGAAAGACACCTTCTAAACCTGATCTCAAATGTTGCTTCTTTCCCTGAGACTGCAAATTATCAAAAGTTGTGTTTCTTAGAGGCAAGAGCAAACTGGTCTTGTTCGTCTTGCTAGGTCATTAACTGTGGAACCAAACAACTGGCATTAGCCAGGGCATTATCAGGGAAATTTGGGATAGATTTCTAAACTGAGAGGGAGAGATTTGGATTTGTGATGCTTTTCCATGATGGGAGTTGAGCTATCCCCACCTCTTCCTGGTCAGACCTGAGGAATGCAGTCACAGATAATCTTGTGATTTGCATGGCCTGAGGCAAGAATAGTTTTCAAGCAGCAAAAGATGTATGGATTGGGAGGGGACTGAAGGAGGAGGCTATTTTTCCTCCAGCTTAGTGTCAGGTGTAGGAGGAGAT